CGCAGCAATGTCGTTGCCATAGCCCCCACTACGAACGTCATCATCATATCACCCTATATGTGCCAACGACAAACTCGACAAAATATTCACAGGTGGTATGTTCAATGACAATATAGTAATATATCATAATGATTTATGTATAATTATGCATGTATGCATTGCGCAGCAAGTCAATTGCATCACAGCAAGGTCCAGGCAGCAATGTAGTTGAACAGTGGAACCGGCAATGCCGTTGCCATAGCTTCCACAACAAACGTCATTCTCCCCACACCCACGGCCTCCCGCAGCAATGATCCCAACAGCAATTCCGTAGCATCCACAACGAATGTCATCAGCACTCCACTGATCCAGGCAGCAACAGGCGAGCCAAGAGTATATTCGTCCATGATGGCCGTCGTAATGGAGATTGAAAGTTCTCGCTTAAAAAAGTGCCAGTTAAGGCGACCAGGGCACCAGTGGGGTCAGGTCACCTGTCCCCAGAGTAATACTCCGCGCGATGCCATGTCATCATGGCACTACTTTGGCATCCCAAGTTGAAGAGGCCTTTGGGCCATAGCAGCTGCAACTCATGGAAATGCAAAATTATGAAATGCCCGTGCTGGTTGAAGTTCAGCGTGCTTCCACTCATTCCCAAAAATATGTCAAGACTAGGCGAAAGCGTGTAGATTTTGAATTTCAGAAAGCTCAAAGCAAACATGTGGGCACGGTGCCCAAATCATGTCATGTCAGCTTTGAGGCAGCGATGATCGGCTGTGGCTTTCTCCGCCACCTACGCACGGGTCAGTTGACTTCAATCTTTGCTGGAACTATGTCCAGTGTAGGCAGTGGCAGTCGGTTGATAAAGCTGGAGGAATGCGCAGAGGCTATGGCGCAAAAGCAGCCGGGACAACCAGTATTGCCCTGACTGCTGGGCGTTTTGAACGCACTGCTCCAAGCGGCTCACTCTTGAAGTATCTGAGCGCTGAGCACTGCGCATCGTCTTATGTCATTATAGAATAGTCAGTCCCTCCTTAGGCTGTATACTTGAAAGCTGGCAGTGAGAGACCGTGGCATCCACGAAATTGCTTGCAGCCATGCTTTACATCAGTCTCTTGTAGTTGAACATCTGGTGGCTCTTCCTCGGGAAGTCTTTCTCCTGCGACATCTCGAAAGAGTTTGTTTTGGCCCGGTGGTTTTCTCGATCAGTCATAGGCAGCTGAGTTTGTCACCAAGATCTTCGCCATGCCACGTGCGAGGAGCCCTCTCAAAGAACGCAAAGCTTGGGCAAGTATGTCCGCTTCGTGGCAACTCCTCAACAGCAATTCTTTACATTTGCCTCCCAGTCTGGGCTACTGTATGTTAAGTCGGGGGTAGTGTGTCCAGCTTCTGGCAACTCCTTAGTAGCAATTCTCGCTAACCCCAACGGGTTTGCCGACATAGCCAAAACGCCGCGTATACCACAAATAATTGTACAAACCGCTCGATTTAGCCGGGTCGTTATTCACGCCTCCAGCATAAGCAAACCACACCAAGTGAACCATCAAAGTGATAAATGTTACAGTACATACTGGAATCGACCATGGAAAAATAGAAAAAGCACTCGTCAGGAACACTCCTGCCAAACCTTATCAAGCGCAGAATGACATTATGGACGCTCCTCTATCCCTCTCCTGTATGTTGGCCTATGATGGGTGCAACACACACACATACACCAAAAAGAACATCACACACACACATACATCTTGGAAGGAAACAAGGTCATACAGGGTCCAGGGCTAGGGATTCGTGATCATCATGTGTCAAAAAAAAACCTCGGCCCACGCGCCTTCCGCTACCTCGGAAATCTGTTCCATCCGGCCGGTGACGCCCGTCCTTGGCGTCCGGTGGCCCCAACATGGGGATGGGGTGTCCGACCCCCCGTCCCAGCGCACTCAAACTCTCACTCATGGACCTGGACAAATGTCCTGGGCCGTGGGCTTTTTGGTTTGCCATTTTTTGCAGGTGACGAACCGTTACACGTCTGTAGGTAGAAAGGCTCGTTCCCGTCTACATCATCCCCCACTTTTTCTCCACATGGTAGGGGGAACTGTCAGAATATGCTGTTGATGCAGAAACCATGAAAGGTACCATTTAAAGCGCCCCAAGTTGACGTTGTGATGGTGGACACCAACTTGAAAGCACGTGTGGAATTCCCATGAATTCCCCAGCCTACTAACGTTCATCGAGTGGGCATGTGGGTCACAAAAAACAACACTATATAGGAATGTAAAACAGGAAACACTAGCGACTTCTGTGCCGGAGATTAAAGGCAATTCTGACCTGATCGAACATCTCAGGGAATGTGGTCGTTCTCATGCAGGCTGTGTGGCCCAATGGTTGCCATTTGTCCCAAGAGGAAGACAATTTGAGTTAAGACAGTGAGCGTTCTGGAACGGAGTACTCAATGACCATCGCCAAAAAAGCAATCACTGTCTTGAGTAAACCCGGCGCGATGTAATATATATATATATATTAATATAACATGGAAGGTTGGTCATCAGCTATTGGTTGAGTCTGCTGGAATCTACCCCACACCACGCCCCAGAAATCTCCCCTTGAGATGCACATGAAAATGCGCGACGAAGCCTTCATGAATTTGAAATTCCACTCCTTCAACGCAATAACAATATCACCTTGCGCCATAAAAACTGTTGTCCCGCAACATTTCACAAAAAAAGCATTGACAAAAGCACGTAAAATACAAATAACAATATATAGACATGATGCATTTCGCACCACTGTCTCAGGTAAACCCGTCTGGATGTATACATATCATAATATATAAATAAAAAATAAATACATAAATAAATACATAAATATTGTATAGTATATATAACTGAAATGTGTACAGTACATTGTAATAATGCTAACTATATATACACGTCAGAATATCATTGAACCTCACGAGTTCAACCCTGCTCTCCCCTTCCTTCACCGAGAAGGAGGAAACGAAACAGTGGAAGTGCAGAGCGCCCCCTGTGGCTGCACTTGCTCTGTTGCCACTCTCACCTGTCCTCAACTGATGCACTAACATGCACTAACCCATTGACCTTGCATCTTCTGCATCACCAACCCACCGCAAAGAAATCACCTCCTTGGCAAAGTAAAAGCACCAGCAGGCTATTGTGGTTTACATCCACTTTACCCAGCCTGCCCTCCAGACCCCCTAAAGACTCACTTCGTTCGCAGAACATATTTTTAGCCTAGCCGATCGGCCCGGCTGGCTATCGTAATTTTCAGCCATCACTTCGAGGCAAAGCCCAGATTCATCATGCCTTCACCCACGTCGTGCATTGAACCAATAGCATCTCCAATCAGCTGAAAGGTCTGGGCCACAGGTGTAATCATCACCAACGAAGGCCGTCGGGGTGCGTCCGGCGCGTTGTCCTGGCAGCAAACTCGGTGGCCTCCGCCCGTTGCGGAGTGTGGCAGCTGCCGGCAGGCTATGCGTCATGGCTCTAGTGGTCGCCAGAAAGGAAAAAGGCAACAATCAAACACATGTCTCTCAACAGATCAGCCATAAAACCTTCATCCAAATTAGCCGGACCAGAACCAGCCACTAGCACAGTGTGCAACATGGAGGCCAGTGTTGCGAAGAGCCCCATACCCCCTTTGACATCCCCACATGCACTGACCCGCCCAAACTTAACATCATTCCAAACGCCCCAAACTCCCACTAATGTAGACACAAAAGTGGCCTAACCCAAAAATACTCAAAAATCCATCCGCTAAAGGCATGAGACATGAATCCTTTGTCCAACCAACTCGCCCACCACTGTCCACTCCCTTGCCCTGCGGTGGGGCGGGCGAACCATCTCCTCATCCTCAGACTTCGTCTCGGTCTCCTCGCGCGTCGTCTCCGCCTCCGACGCGCCGAAGCCGCCCACGTCGCCGCCTTGGGAGCCCGGCGGCCGGGTGTGCCAGGTGGGAGGCGAGTAAGTGGTTCATGTCCCTAAGGAGGTACCATCCTATGGATGGACCATCCCTATAGTACATGTCTCACATGCTGTTGCACAGCAAGCAACAGCAATTCAGGACATCTTCAAACCATTTCAAACCACAAATCAGGTCGACCACGGTTGTGGTTGCTGGTTTCAGCTCCGGAGGTAAGTCATCCCAGGGAAGGATTGAGTCATCCCACTTCTAAAAAAGCTGATCAAACATACCTGGACCATCCTGGACCTGGGTGTCCTGTCTGGGTAGATCCCTATAGCCTGTATAGAGTAGTCCGTTGGACACCCCAAGCTCATGGTCCTGGCATTAAGACTTCCAGGTCGCTCTGGGCATTCTTGGCGTTCAAAGCCCCATCGTCGCCCTTGCCTCCCGCACCTTCGGCACGTGGTCAGGGGGCAGGGGAAACAGTGAGGTGGAGGAGATCTGCCAAATTGAACTCTTTGGGTTGTGCAAGCTGCATGTACAGAGTCAACAGTAAACATCAGTACTGCAAACAAAACAAGACTTTTCCTTCTTGGGAGGGTTGAGGCTGGGCAAACTGTGGTGCCACATGTGGTGCCTTATTCTTCTCAAGCATCGAAGGAACACGGTGTGGGTATGTGTAGGTAGTTTGACATGTTTTCCTTGATGGATTTCTTTAAACTTACGCGTGTGTCCAAAAATCCTCTCACTGAACCAAATCCAATAAAATCACAGCCTCCATCACCGTCCATTGGTAGACCCGATGGCTCAAAGAAGTGCCATGTCAAGATCGAAGTCTCTCCGGTCCCTCCGACACTGGTGCCGGTCCAATCTGCACATCCAGATTTCAGAAACGGCTGTGGTGGGCGCGATGTCTCACCAAGAACATGCAATCGCAATAATACTGACAATGCAATCACAATATTATTAAGTGAAGTAGCACTATAGTGAAAAAAAGAAACCCAAGAGCTGATGAGAAAACATGTTTTCCGCATGAAGTAGCAGTATAGCACAATGCCACATGCTCCGACATGCTGCAACCCACCTCTGATGGCTGGGGACTGGGCGTCTTGGGGCACAGCACTCCTGGGCGTGCGCCGATGGAGGAGACCAGTGGAACCGAACCACCAAAACCGTAAAGACCTCCTACCACCGTCCAACAAATCCCGTGTTTGTAGAGGAACATTCCCAAGTCACCTCTCTCTTTCTCTCTCTCTCTCTCTCTCGCGTGTTCTTTCTTTCTCATTTCGCAAGACATGGCTAAGGGCTTTCAGGGTGTTCTACATTCTTCAGGGTTTCCACAAATATCTTTTAGAGAGTGTTTTAGAGTACCAGGTGCCCCCTCAGTGTAGAAAAGCACTGTGCCTTGTCGTCATGTTCCAAGTATTGTGCTCTTGGAGGTGTCCGACCCGTCAAGCTTTTTCGAACGACACCCAAAAACGAATCGAACGGACGTTTTGTTCCGTTCCAGGTGGAAAAGAATCCCGAACGAATCAAACTATAACCAGAGGCAGTTCCAAGGGGATGGTTTTTAGACCCCAAGGATTTCCATGGGCAGTCTGACAGTCTCCCGTGTGCCTTCTTTTTCGCACTGGGATGCCCACCGCTACAAAACTCCTCGGGTGACGCGTGCAGGATGCCCACCTGAACGAGGCTGCGAGGTCGAGCACGTGGGTGGGCGTCCAGTTTCGGTGGTTTGCCAAGTGAATCGAGTGAATCCAGTTTCGAGGTTGAGCAAGCCTCTGACCTATCTTAAAGAGTTCTCACTCTCTCTCTCTCTCTCTCCTTCACCCTCTCTCTCTCTCTCTCTCTTTCTGGGGTTTAATGTCATTGGAAGTTTTGAGGTCTTCATTCTCAACCTGCCTTGGCAAAAAGTGTGGAATGCAGTGGGTCAACAATGGTCAAACCATTGCAGTGAGCCCCATCATGAACAGAACATCTCTGAATGAATGCCCCACCCGGTCTACCATGGGGCCCGGGTTGCAACCCGCAGCTCAGTCTGCAAATGGACAGACTCCGTGCAGATGGAGATGCAACAGGACTATCAATGTAGACTCTTGATTAATATGCCCTCCCATTTGAATTGTACATTAGTGCTGATTGATTACGGCAATCTCTACACATCTCTAGAAAACAATGTGTCCATATGTGGCAATCACATCGCACCCCATGGCAAGCCGGTACGGTGGAACGCACGGTCGCACCTCGGCTGGTGAGGACCTTGGCCATTGGGGGCGCCATCGGTCGCGAGGGTGAGTTTCACCAATTCACACTGCTTATGTATATACCTGACAGGGTGAATTGAGTGAATATATATATATATATGTATATATATATGTATATATATATGCATATATATATATGATAGGGTAAAAGGTATACCTGATAGGACTCCTGATAGGTTGAACCCCCTCTTGGGTTGAGAGTTGAGACCAATCTCAAGGCCGGAACCAGGTCCAATTCCGTTGCCGATGTGCCGGGGTGGCCCCCCTTGACGGCCACCCGCACATGAGGAATCTCTAGTCCGCCCACCCGGTCATCAGTATATAGCAAGAACTCCAGGGGAAGGAACTGTGTAGCCAGTTGGGTGTGTAGTCAGTTGCGACTTCATTGATGATGTACACAAGTAAAGAAAATAACATGCACATATTGACGTAGTGGGGGAAAACCCAGCACAAAGGCCTGCAAAAACTGTGGGAGACAAAACTTTTTGGGAAAGAAGCCAGACTCGAGCTAAGGACCATGTATTGCATTAAATTATATATACATTTAGTCTTTGGCATGTAATGACTGCAATGCAATGTTAAGGAAAACCAACATCCGACCAACGCATGACATACCCTGGGTTATACCTCGGGCTTATGGTGTGCGGTTTGGCCAACGGCTAGGGGAGTACGATCAGCAAACGGTTGGGGCACAAATGCATCCCAATGGACGTGGAAGTGGAGAATGGCCCGGATTTCTTTAAACCATCACTACACCGGACGTTTCCCACTTCCATGTTGGTGAGAAGGAGCGCACACCCTTCCCATCATACTAAACCATCTGCTCACCAAATCACCTCAGTGTGACCTTGCGTATCTCGTGAACCCAGTGTCTCATTCGTTTCTACTGGGACTCTTGACCTGAACATCCCATTGTGACCCTTCAGCCTGACTCCCAGTGTCCACTCTTTTCGTCTCAAATGAAATTGGACTCCTTCAATGGAGGCTTGACGGTGCGTTCGACCGCCGGGCGTAGATTTTGTAAGAGAACCAGCTTAGACACAGGCGCCTCAGGTGCCTCAGGTGCCTCTGGTGCGTCTGGTGCGTCTGCTTCTTCCTCGGCTTCCATTGCTTCCCCTCGGAAGTTGGGAGCTCCTGGAGGGAGCCTTGGAGGCAAAAGCTGCACCAAATATCTCCCGCTGTCGCGGTTAAAAGCCACCACCTCCCCCAAACAGCCCTCCAGGTGGCGAGCCCTCTGAAGATTTGACATCCTCACCTTGGTTCACCAAACATGTTTAAAAGCACTCACTCTTTAAGAATGACATCTGCAAGTTCTGCATGATCTAGATTTGTTGAAGAAGGTCTTCCAAAGCAAATATGTTTATTAAACACAGAAAATGATTCTTTGGTGCAAACTCGGGTCACCCATGACCCGAGGCGAGGCTTCCACGACTCCCGTTGCTTTCTGAGCCTTAAATTCTGTGCATACCAGTCCTCTTCATCACTGCTGTCCTCCTGCGGTGCGATCTTTCTCAGTCGGACCAACAGGATTGTTGGATGAGAATTGGTGGAGCGGAGTGTACCACAACAAGGTCCATTTTCTGAAGTACAGGAAAACTTGAACAAAACCCGCGGAAACGCCGGTGGTCCTTCCATCCGAAGCAAGAACGCATGGACCAATCTTCGGTTTCCATAAAGTCTTTCACCTTCTGGGCGCAAGCGACGCCTTCCGTCTTCACCTTCTCCGCCGTTTCGCTCAGATCCAAGTCATCCACAATCTGCCGCAAGGACTGCGCGGCCTCTAAGCTACGGCTGGCCACCTGCGCATAGATGAGGAGTGAACTCTACTCAAGAGGGACATGAACAAGCTATGCCCAAAAAACAGAATCTGAAATCTGAACAGATCGTCCACGCAAACCGCCACGCAGACCGCCTGGCTACACATGGCACCTCCCTCGATCCGCAAGCGGCCCATGACGCTCAGCACGTCCGGATGCTTTGCCGCAAAGTCCTGGGCCGCCTCGGTGAAGGACAGCGTGGCGTTGCGGCAGGCCATGCGCACCGCGGGCACCTTGGCGCGGAAGCCGCGAGGGAGGCGAGACAGGCCCGGGGGGTGAGGAGATGTGAGGAGATGTGAGTATACGTGAAATGCATCTGTGAAGAGGCCTGACAAGTACTGCAATCTAAAATTCACCACATGCACATCATGCACATACATACTTTTCCAGGATCCTGACGGGACGACGAACCACCAAGTGTCCAATTTGGGAGAAAACTCTCACCATGTTTCAAGTTCCAAGGTTCCAGTTTGAGCATAAGTAGCCAAGGTTAAGTTCCAGTTCAAGTTCCATGTTCCAGTTTATGATTGTGCTATATATATATTTATCATAAAATCGATATATAGATCACCTGTTCTGACCACAAATCCCAGCTTCATCATCACCTCAACAGTCAATGCCTGGCCTTCCCCCTTTGGGCGATTTCTCGCCGTTCCCTTAACCTCGTGGTTTCGCTCAGCGCCTGTGAGGCAATGACCACTTGGCTCACGCCTTGCACGATGGCCATGCGCCGGGCAAAGGAGCCGACCCGTGGTAAACCAATGAAGCTCACCTGATCCGAAAGCTCCCAGGAAGCCGGCGCGGTGTGGAGACAGCACGGGTGGACTGAGCTGCGGAAGAAGGAGACTCGTTTTCCGGTCTTTGGGCACCAATGAAGAGTGCGAGATGTGGAAAAGTGTTATCCAAAATCATCCAAACACACTTCGCAATATCTTACAGCAGCCACGTGCTATTTACACCTTAAACATCCGTAAGCGATCATCGTTAAACATGCCAGGTCACAACCACCCCAGCGGAGTATAGGCCCACCGACAAACACAGCCCTCGCACGGTTTGCTCCACAGCATTGCTGGCAGCATCCAGTCCGCCAGTGCCAGCGCCACAAAAGCTGCCGGGCAGGCCACCCGGACGACTGAGGCCCAGCTGCTGTGCCCAAAACAAGGTCTCCTTAGAAGGCGGGTCCGTTCTGGTCAGATCTCACGCCATCTATGGATGGATGGATTCTGAAGATGGGCACCCGATTCTGATTCTCTTGATCCATAAGACCCCCTATGAAATGCTCTTACAATCATCAATTAAACACCTTGAACATCTTCAACGCTTTAGATCTTCATAATTATGTAGGGCATCTAGACATATGCACATCGGTGCCCTCCAATTTGGGGATCTAGTGACGTGCATGTCGCGACTCAAGGCTTGTGGACCGCCGTGGACAGTTTGACCTGCCGGACGCCCATGTCGACCGCGTGGCCTGCCGCCTTTGTGATTGGTTCATGGCCTACTGGAAAAACCAATGACAAACCGAGGGTCTTAAGATGTCTTAAGTGACCAAGACGACACTGGTGACCTTCACGAAGCTGCCAAGGTTTAATGTGGATGGTGCAACTCCCTTCTAGCCTAACAAGACCTGCTCCCCGGCGGCTTGTCCCCCTACTGAGGCCCCGTATTAAAAAACTCCACCACCCCATGTCTCGCTGTTGCCAGGTCTCCGCCATGTCCCCGAAGCCCGCCCCCCCACCCGCGGCATAGGCCGCTGCGAAGGCGAAGGCCGCAAAGGCCTCGTCCGGGGTCATCTGGACGTCGTCGCTCCTGGACGAGACGTCGCCGCCGCGCAGGGAGGGACAGTGACGCGAAGTGCAGAAGGGGTGCCCCAAGGAGGAAAATGTATTTTTGTGGGAGGACAGCATTTACGGGGTTCACTCCAAGAACCAAAGCCCGATTTAGGGAGATTCAACCCTAAAGAAGTCCAAAATCGGAAAGGGCTTCACATGAGTTCTGGAACAACACATCAGCCTTACTTTAGTGGGACACTAACTTGTGGAATCGTCACAGGGGGTTGGCTTTGAACAACTCGCAAAAACAAAAACACAAAACAGCACAAAGCCAACCCATAAACTTCAACAAAACAATGCAAGAATGGTCATCTAAAAGCCATTTGCACAAACCAAGCTCAACACTGTTCACGAATCGGGGTGCACTCCTCTCTAGATATGTAGAAAATGACAGGTTGAGTACACGATCCTCTATCCCATCTATCTTGTGGCTGGTCATGGTTTTTCCAGGACCATGACCAGCTGCAAATCCAAGTCTCTGTTCTCCCTCCGTGAGCTCCAGATCATAGTCAGCCCGCTTCTGTGGATCTGAGAGCACCGTGTACGCCGCAGCTACTCGCTGAAATGCCCGTGTGGCCTGTGGATGAGGGTTCCTCGGTGGACCAACGGCCTGCTGCTTCCGGAAAATGACCAACATATCGAGCAACCAGGCCCCAGGCACGGCCTAGCGGCCTGCTGCTTCCTACCAACGAACTAGACACGATGACGATGCAACGATTTTCCGATGGTCTGTGTTGTGTGCGGTCGACTGTGAATGAACAGGCGTTCGGAACAGAGTCCATGTGATCCTCCAACCCCAAACTGCCGAGACGTTGGTTCGCCGGTGGGAGAACCACGGTGGAGAAACCCACAACACCGCCGGGCTGGGTGGATCGTCCGCTTTTCGACGACGAACTGTGACAGATGAACCAGGTCCATGGCGAACACGTCATGGAGGTGGAGGTCTGTGGCTTCGGGAAGACTGTTCGAAGCGGTGGAAGCCAGTGACCCTGTGCTGAGTTTGGAGCCTAAGATCATTGAAAACCAATCTCAACCAATCTTACAAGTGAACATGTGTCTCAACTAAACAATTGACCAACGGCCCTTGGGTTTCTGGCGACATTGCCCTGAACATATTTCAGATCTTTCAGTGGGTAAACGGTAAACGTGTCAATATTGGAAGCATCATCGACGTCCATCTGAATCTGCGTCTAAATGCTGGCCACACCAATCATCTGATCACTTTGCCGGGCGTCTCCCTATCGCATGTCTATCAAACAAGATGCCATCTGCAGCGGAAGGTGACACCCCGGTGCAACCCCCGGTGGAACACCTCGATTCAACACCGCCCCTTAATCACCACTACGAACCCCTTAACCACCTGTCCGTCACGGCCTTTCATAGGCAGTTTCTGCCCTTAACCACCACTACGAACCGTTGGACTGTGTGATTCAACACCGAGGCCTGCGGAACGTTGGACTTCCACGGACTTTTTCGATCAAAGCTCTTATCCGGATGCACCAGCACCGAGGCCTTCAGGTAGCACCTTCTCAACTCGCCCACGGACGCGTCGCGGGGCGCGTCCATCGCCGCATAGTGGTCCTTGGCGCCCAGAATGGCCAGCACAGCAATGGCCGCCTCCTGTGAAATGCCCGAGGCTGCCATGACGCAGGAAAAGGAGGACCAAATGCTCTGGGGCCAGTCCCAGGAACTTTTCTCGGCAGAGGTGGCGACTGGACACTGAGATGATGACTTACTTGGGCGTGACCAGTCGGTGACTTGGTGTTAGCCGAACAAAACGCCACAATTGAAGCACTCTTGCAAACTTGCTGTGTGAAACTGAGCCGACAGCTGCGGTGAAGCATCTCACCAATTGAGAGTGCAAGCATTGGATTGAGCAAGCGGCACGGGAGATCCAAAAAAGCTCAATCCTGAGGATGCTGGAGAGACAATTAAGCAACAAATTGAGCCAATGAAGATGACTAGTGCCTTACCAGTCGATTCCTTGGACGGTGTCCACCGCGGACGGCACGCAAAGGAACGCGGGTTGGAAGTCAGGATTCCTATGCATTCCTCCTATCCTCGCATTGAGGATGCCAGCAAAACAGTTGACTTCAAAGGCTTAGTCGTGTCAAAATCCACGAAAGCAACGCAGAATCACTTCAGGTATATACTGAGACACCCAAACTGTTCACCATTCCCGCACACTCCACTTGGGACAAACAAATACAGTAATTTGACCCCCGGTCAACCAACCCAAATGTACCCGGACACTCCATGCATGCCTATACATATATTGTTTATCTACATTGGAGTGGTTTCAGGTTTCAATGTATAAGTACGTTGGTGGAATACATAAGTATATACATTGGTTTAAGTATGCATTCCGTACCTTGATGCGTCTCGCTAGGTAATTGCATATGCCAGTCCCATCTGTGCCTGGGATCTACTCTGCAGGTCTCTAGCTTGTGTGTCCGCCAAGCCGCGCAAAGCTTCTGGCCACGCCCACAGGGGGTGTGCCGTGCAGGTCCTGAGCGCCAGCTATGTGCACCATGTGACCCGAGCGAAGTTAAAGCGGAGAAAAGCCATGTCCCACCATACTGACCTGTTGGGGAGTTAGAGTTGGGAAGTGCTTGGGGGGCGCTCTTGGCCCAAAACAGGCACACAAGGTCGTGTCCTATCAAGGTCTTCTCCATCCTTGGGCGATGATCACTCATACCTTAAATTTAACGTGGGCACCCATGTCTTGACTGGAAAAGGAGCATCATGTTCTAAGAGTTCTGACGCTTTCTCATCGCTCTCTTGCCCTTAAGAGTTCCGGAGTAAACTGTTGGCACCAAAGCCATGGTGTCGAGGGGGGAAGATCAACATCAAAACGGTCTTCACTGGGATGATGGAAGTAATCCATCCCATTTGAGTTGGAACCACCTAAAACTCTGACTTGCCATGTTTTTTCGTGCGTCCAGGTGGTGCAGGTTGGTTCCGGATTTCTTACATGAAGAGTGGGAGTTCCAAATCCATCTTCTTCAACCCTGCGGTGCAGCTGGTCTGCCTCGTTCCAGGTCAACAACTCGGGACTGGCCTCGAAGCCGGCCGTGAACCAGTTGGAAAACCACGGCGACCAAAAGCACAGTTGATCAAAGTTGAGAGGTGGATATATGGTCGATGAGATGAGGAAAAACAACTAAAGTATCTTAGTACTGAGGCTTGATGGATATCAATCCACCCAATCCAATCCTCAAGATGGTGAAAACAACAAGCCCTCTCTCCACCTTCACCAAGTCTTCCCCTTTCACAACTCCGTCCGACTCTCCCCTCTCGGCTCGGCTCGCGGCGACGAAAGGACTGCTGCCGCTGGCGCGTCGAACGCGTTCCGCTCGGGCTGGCCTGAGGTCGCCGGAACGAGCGGTAGACCAGTCCGCGCGGGTCAATGTCTAAGGAGTTCCAACAGCCAGAAACCTGCCTGGACCTTCAAGGGGTGTCCTGGCTGGAGGTCCCTTAATTAGTAGTGTAGGGGCTTCCAGCCAGGTGACCCCGACATGAAGGTGCTGTGTGGAAGAAGCACCACTTGATGAACATGTGACGGGAGGACATGTCTAACCTCTGAAAGAAGGCACCTCGGGAGAGTCCTCGGTAGACCAGGCACCACTTGGATGGATGCAGAAGGGAGGCAAAAGTTGCCAAATGTAAGGATGTAAAGGAGATCATCAACATCTATACCAGCCATCTGGTGTCGGTTGCTTGGTTGCTTGGTTGGTTGACATGTTGTTCCTTCCTGCCCTGGCCTTCCTCATTCCGAAGCACACCCAGTTCCCCTTCTGCTGTCCAGTCACGTGCCCAGGAAGTCCCTAGTGGACTTGGACCTGGCACAGCCGAGCCATGCCGAACAGCGTATGAGCTTGTTTCAGAGATGGTGCCCAGCGCCCAGAACAGACTCCACTGCCCCCACTCTCCACTCTCGAATGAATTCCCGCGTCCTGTGTGCCCAGGCTAACATGAATCTTGCGGGCTGGCTGACTGCACGAAGGAAGGAATGCGGAATGAGAGCAATTCACCACCCTCGCCTTGACAGGAACGTGTTCAAAGCCTCCATTTAAGCATTGTCATGTTTATATATATACAACGCCCCGCTTTTGGTGGTTTGTCAAGGCCACAAGCGAGCAGTGCTGGACGGTGTGCTTCGATTCAGCATGGCGAAGCGCAACGGCTCAGCGATCAGCGTTCCGGCCCCCCTTTGAGCTGAATGTAACTGGAGAGAAGGGTTTGGCCAGGACGCTCGTGGGCGTCGAGGATCAAACAGTCCGCAAAGGTGACTTGGAAAGATTCTGACCATGGGGCTCTGCAGTCTGCCCAAATCTGCAGCTCACTCCGACATGCGTCGCCAAATGTTTCCAACCAAACCCGCAACCCCTCCAGGGCAACTGTTTTTTCTACATCTTCTGTGAGAGTCGATTTTAATTCGCAGCGGTGGCGACTTAAGCATTCACTCCTCCGGGCAAATCATAGCTCTGCACATATCACGACGCAATGATGGGTTGTTCCACGAAAACATCGTGAAGCTATATGATATATGCTACCTTGTTTCAAGCTTCCTGGCCTCACTGGTTGCAAACATCATCGCACGAGGTACTGGGTGGGTCATGAAGTGTGGGCCCCCTGTCAATGTTTCAAACACACTAGTTGATTGCATCAGTGATGGGCCAAACAAGACCCAAGGATAAACCTTTATGTGGGAAATAGTGTTCAATAAGCAGGCTCTGCTACAATTTGCCCAGGCTATCACTATGACGTTGGCATGTTGACATGGAAATGAGAACCTCATCAAATTGACGTGAACAGCACAAATTTGACCACCCAAACATTTACAGGATTCACGGTATATCACACCCGGCTGGGTAACAAAACTCAATGTTTTGCTCAATGTTCTTGTAAATGAATCCTAGAGTCCAGTGAGCGTCTGTCATCTTGTCTTGAAACCATGACGCCTTTCACTCCGGAAACTCAACAGCACTTCAGGCCTGGTTGCGGTGATGGAACATGGCTAATGGATTGGAAGGTTCATACTGTAGAAAGCAAGCACTTCATTGGCTGATGGAGGCCCTCATGAGGCCCTCAACTCCTCTCATCAGCCCAGCGCATCCCAATGGACCTTGGAAGGCGAGGGCGGTGACAAAAGCCGACCCGATCGTAGCGTCCGATCGCTCCGTTCGTAGTAAGGCCAGGAGCCCCGTTCTTGACTTTCTCCTTGTTCCGTTCGTAGCGATGCCAGGAGCCCCGATCGTAGCGTGCTCAATTTATATAGATTTAATTGTGCCCCTTCGGACTTCTGGGTTCTCCCATTTCCTTGCCAAACAAGCCATTCACGTCGGTAATTCTGACAACCCGTTCAGATGCCCAGCTCGACTGAGAGATCAAGCGTTCCCTATGCCTCGAGGGATGGTCCGGTGCTGAAGAGGAGCGCGACCGCCCAAAAACAATAAGGGGATCATCGCCTTGAGAAACACACCGATCTTGGAGAGTTCGAATAGCGTCTTCCATCATCTTCCACAGGTTCATGGCAGGAGACTCTGCCAACCAAAGTGGATAAACTGTCGTGAAACCATCATTCCTAATATTATTGAGTATATTATTGAGTAAATGAGATGCCTCCAGACTCCAAACCCGTGAAATTCCACGAGGAACCATCTCCGTCCCCAGAATCCTTCTTCCTCCGTCACCGCAGCCCCTGGGGACCACGGACATCGCCTTGGGCCGAGGGCCTTCACCCAGACCCACCTGCCGGCGCGAAGCGTCACCCAGCGTGCAGCGCGCCGGTGCCGAAGGGGACAAAGATGGACACCATGGCGTTTCACCAGCCAGCATTTGCTGGCCTGATTGTGTCGCTTGGATGCGATCATGGTTGATGGAGTTGATCAAGCTGTCTGCCCTGGATCAATAGCCCAAACAAATAGAAAACAAGGTGAAATGAAATGGTGAAACATGATCATGATTAAGCTGATGAACATACAAGATCAATTGAATATGATGGGATATCCATGCTGATCCACTTAAGGACCAACTCAAACGATGGTTTACAGGTTTCGGTCTATGTTATTTTTCATGTTTTTCTGAAGATGAACAGGGGTTCCTTCCTTGTGACGCTTCTTGACACCAGCCTGGATCTCGCTGGCCAAATCCAGCGACCGACACCGTCCGTCCGCAACGATTGCGCCGCTCCCGTCCTTTTCCGACAAGGATTGTGATCGGGCGTTGCTTTTGCAAGGCCCGTTTGGGACCTGAATCGGGGTTCTAAAAGCGAATGAGACGTGGAAGCTTCCTGGCAGCCGAACCAATCCATCGCCGGAAGGAATCAACGAAGCATTCTGCTTGGCTGTTTTTCTTGGAGAAACTCCAAAACGACACCATGTACAGTGCCGCATAGGCACTTTCACATCGCTTTGATTGCCGCACTCTGACGAGATTTGGCCTCAGATGAGCTGACTAGATTCAAACCAAAACTTCTGCAGCTCTTGCTCTCTCCATCTATATAAGTTTCTGTCTTGGCGTGCCGTGCAACGACTAAAAATGCATAATGCATCACGCGCGACACCGGGAAGCACAGAATAAAACCAGTGCAACAGGAACCTTCATTCACTCACTGTGTCGGCACCGCACTTATGTAGGTCTTGCAAAGGCCAAGTGAAGCTCCCCAACCCCGTCCCCAACCCCGTGAAGGGTAAGGGTCTTTCGAGCAAAGCTGCTGCACGGTTTAGGTGGGCCCGTTTAAGTCTATATCATATATGTCTATATCATATATATCATATATATATATATATATATATATCATCCTTCATCCTCGAAGAAAAAAAGAAACATCCTCCGACAGTCGAACCCCACTCCAAATAACAACAACTTCAACTTAGCTGGAATACTGCCTGATTTGGCATTTGGCACATTGCTTGACACCTGCCATCCACCTGTCTGATCCCAACCAGTCGCCCCCGTGCCCAGTCGCCGAGCCCGCTGAACCGGTCAGCGGTCGGCTGGGTGGGACAGAACCACCGTGGCCACCTTCAGCGTTCTGGAGCTGGGCCATCTTGGCCATCGCTTCCTAAGTCCCGGTCTCGGCCCAGTCGGCGTCGGAAGAACCAAAGTGGTACAACAACCGGCCAACAACGGCAACATCTTGGATTTTCTTTTGTGCAACTCAAACAAAGCCATACAAAGCCAATCTTGCAGCCCCTTTCCTGTTGCAGAGTGGAAACTGGTGGTAATATTGATATAACCCATCTCTGAAAACAACTCTGGACCCAGGTGGTTGCAGTCCAATGTGGGCAATAACACATCCCACCATCTGTGATGTGTCATATATATATATTGACATTACTATTGATAATTAATTAATTATTGTTATATATACATATATATACAAAGCCTCCAATTTGAAGTGCGGCCCGCAACCACACAAAATAAGAAAGGGAAGGGCGTGCATGCAGTGCTGCTTATCTTGGGCGCGCAGCATTCGACGATACGAAGGGCCCCTCGCAAACCAAAAGTTTTAACAAAAGGACTAACAGGTCCATCTGCCGCATGGATGGACGCTGTCACCAAACGGGGCAACCCTGAAAACCAAGATGTTCTATCTCGGGATACAAACCAAAAGTTTTAACAAAAGGACTAACAGGTCCATCTGCCGCATGGATGGACGCTGTCACCAAACGGGACAACCCTGAAAACCAAGATGTTCTATCTCGGGATGCTTGGAGGGTTGGGTATGCCTCTCGGGCCTCTCTCCACCCACTGGGTCTATGGGGCCCACCTGTGTGGAACTCCGGCATTTCCATTGTCACTCCGAACCCAACACAGTGGATCCACCATCTGTGCGTCGATGTCGGAACCACCATCCGTGCCGTGCCTGGCTGACCAAATGCCTGAAATCCGAAAGCCAGGCGTTTGGAGCCCTGGGGTGTCCGAATCATCTTCCTGTTGGCCCCAAAAGCCCAGCTTCTGCTTCAGCTTTCTGCATCTGCTCTCGTTCCTCTGCTCTCGTGGGGCCGGCATGAATAGAAAACATCGACCAGTGCATTGTCTGATGCCCGAAAAAACATGGAAATGCTGAAATGCTTCTTGAACACAATGTACAAGCAAACGCCCGTGGTTGTGTTAGGCCAATTGCTGCAGGATGTTTGGCGTTCGTCCAAGCTAGTCGGATGATAAGACAAACCCCGTGACTCCATGAAGCGGGATGATAAGGCATGACACCTTCTGGGTGAGTCTAGACATTCATCAGTTGGGCATCATGGACATGGGGCGCAGTACAGACAGGTCTTACGACTTTGATCGACTTTGCCTTGGTTTGATACCCAGAATCGGCTGTTTATCGCTATCCTTTACCATCCTTTACCATATTAATGTTAAGTGTTCACAAGTCACAACATATATTATATTATAATGTCTGTTCAACGAGTACGCGCCATAACAGGTGTTAGCTGCTATGAACATCTTGATTTCGCCCCAAGTAGGTAATTAAAGTGAACTCCCAACAGAAGCATTGGATTCCACCAATCTATCTGTTTGGAGGCGCCACCACAATACGGCTACAAGGCTGATGAAACCATTCACTGTGAATATGCCCAGAACCAATATCAAATATGTTGTTCCCTTTTGTTCATCTAACATCCAACGTGCTAGCTAACCAACACGAACTACAGTCACTACATTCAAGTATTCATGTGTTAACGAATGCTTTTGCATTCTGACCACTAAGCGAGCAATGTTAATCCCAATTCCCCCCAAAGCTCACATTTGTTTCTGCGCATTCCACCTTGTGAGTGGTGCACATAGAAACTTGGCGCACTAGCTATAAAGACTTTGAATAGCGTATGTGTCCCTATATGTGCTCATACATTATAGTAATCGAGCGTCCTTCCAAACAATCGTCAACTATCCCCAGCCCTCTCTCGCACCCTCTGGACCACCCAAATGGTTCATCACCAAGGCCTAGGCTCTTCCTCCCAAATGCGACGCCACTTCTCTTCGTTTTCGCACCTGAGGTGTCCCCCCCACGAATTCGGCCGATGAACGGAAGCTGGACTTCTGGTGACCATGATGGAGGAGTCCACTAGCGTGCTCTGGGAGAGATACTGGGCACTTGGGGGTCTCTGGCAGGTCCGTCGCGAAAATTCTGCCACTGAAAGAGGTTGTGACCAGGTGTCTCGGCGCCTTGGCACCAGTCGCAAAAAAAGAAATCACAGGGGCATCATGGCTGTCATGTGCTGGCATGCTGCCCACCAACAATTGAAGAAACAAAGTGCACAAACATGAACAACTCGGGTGTTTGACCAATTAATTGGATCATATGAGATCCAATTAGGACGTCCCCCATAAAGGGGCAATCTCATGCCATCCCCAAATAGAATGAAATAGGCAGAGGCTGCATCATTCGCACGCAGCGCAAAGCTGCATCACAAAAAGAGGTTGCACAAAAGCAAGCGACGAGTGAAAGGGGGGTAACTGAATCACCAACTTTAAGCTTGAAACAACACCACAAGGGCGTAAGAAGCAACATTACACGAGGTGCCTGATCAAAGGGGAAATTCTTTAGGTTAATCTCCAAAGCAAGTTCGCAAGCAGTGATGTGGCATTGAGCTCGTTTTTACTTTGAAGGCCTGTTGGGCAAAGCCACTCCCTCTAGGCTCTGCTCGAACCCTTCAAAGGCAAGGCACGTGAGGTTGACAAGGCTACTCAGCGGAGTTTCCTTAGCCAGCCCTTGCAGCTGCAGTACCCCCTCAAGAGCCATCAACTCATCTTCCACAGGGTGACCTTGGAGGCATCTCCAAGCCTCGTGCAAGCTAGCCACCTCATAGGTGTAGGACAAAGTTGTTGGTTCCCCTTGTGCCAGCCGCCCTTCTTGCGCCAAAGCCTTCGATAATGACAGCTTTTGAGTTCCTTTCATCACAGCGACTCTTGCTCCAGGTTTCGATGGAAGTCGATCCCGGATGATTCTGCGAAGTTCAGAGCCGGTGAGCGACTTGGACACGTGACCGACGTGGACACGTGGACGTGGAATCCATCTCCACTTATGCCCACAACTTGAATTTCCATAAGTTCTTCATTCCCGAGTCGCTGCCCGATTTGCTTGGGTACATGGCCTTCTTTTGTCTTCGTCTCACTCCAGTCTTTGAGCAAGTTGAATTCGACAATACTACAACGTCTCATGTCTCATGTCTCATTCAAAGGTAAATCAGTTGACATGAGACGTCGAGAAGCATCTTATAGAAACATTTAAATCACTTCTTAAAGTCATCACGTCTTGTGCCGTTCGCCATGTGCTTTTCCTCACCATGTGCCGTGCCCCATGTGCTTCGCCGGTGCGCTGGCCCGGTGTGCCCCGAACTGGTCACATTCATCGATTTGCTGTCCAACCGGGACCAATGACAAGAACACATCCCCAAGACCTAACTTAACAGTTCGGGAAAAGAACACATCACCCCTATGCAAAGCCAAGTCATGGCCACATTCATGGTCAATTATCCACATTCCATCTCGATTGTAACAAAGAAAAAGTATCCATCACAGGGAGGACCCCCCATATTCGGGGGCGCTTCAATCAAGGCCCTGGATCTGTCCAAATCCCTCAGCGCCAAACCCCCGACAGCTCGGTCGCGGCACTGCATGGTGAGCGCGATGAAACCCACGCCACGCGAGGCCAGCATGGCGTCCGGATCGCGGGACACCGGGGGTTCGGGACGGCTGCGACGCGAAAACACGCTCGCGGGCGCTCAATGGGTAGAAGGACAGAATTGTTCTGCAAAATGTGCCCGGGGTGTCTGTCGGTGTGTCGGTGGGTCGTGATATCATGCGATCCAGTCACAGCAGAACTTAATCATTCTGAAGCTAGGAGGAACATGAAGAAACAACTTGTTTCATCCTTGTTTCTAAGTGGGTACATCCTTGTTTCTGAGTGGGTACGGAACGCATTTCGCCACATCTCAGGTGTTACCAATCGTGAAACTGTAGTTTATAGAGTCTGCAGTAACCCTCAATCCTTGAATAGATAGAAAGAATGTGGATCAATGTGGATCATGTGCGGCACATTGCCAATCCAAAACCTTGGCTTCAATCCGGTTCTACATTATAAAGGAAGGGATTGCGACAAATATAAAGTAATAGCATTTGGGAGATGTCATAGCCAGGCATTTCTGCTATCAAGGACAACCTGACCTCAACCATCTGACAGTCGCCATGCTTCTGGGCCTTCACTGGGTAGCTTTGCACCATCGCCTCCACGTCTTCTGGCCTTCTCCGCAATGCTGTGGAGAGGAGATTGAGTGAATCCAACCGAGGATGGAGGTGGCCAAAAACATCCGGGACATCCGCATCATCAAATTCAGCCAGCGAAAGAAGTCATAAACTCATGAATACCTGAAAAGATCTCGAGCGCCCGCAATGATGTTCTAAACATGAATCCTGTAAAATCTGAATCACGTCTGTCATGACAATGGTTTCTATCTATAATTATGCGCCAGGGGCTCATGAGATATGGTATCAGACTCTTTCTGCACCAGGTTTGGCATGAACCCACCGTCAGACGACCCTCCACCCCAGCTCTCAAGCATGAACCGCAGCTTGAGAGACCTCTCCCAAAGAGTCCCATTGGGAAGACAAAACGAGCTCCATGTCCTCCACGTCATGATTGGTAGCCAACAAAGCATCCCTGAGGATTATTGAATGATTCTTTACCCACTGCTCTCTGTGTGATGCACATCGAGAAGCAGAAAAGCCCAACTGAAAAGCATCGGTTCTACTGCCAGACTCCGCTTGGTTTCTGGTGCCTTCCGAGGTTTCTGGCTATGCTCCCTCTCCCCCAAGAGAGATTCTCGACAAGAGTTTCCGTTGTTCACCCGAAGGCCCGAGGCAAAAAGGAATCCCTCGTGGAAATTGGTGCGTTTTGGAGGGCTATGAGTCACGCACGAAACAAGAAGGTACCACTGGTAAGACTTCAGAGCTCATCGAGCCAGTGTAGAGTCATGCCAAATCATGACTCTTCCCCGGGGCAATGGCACAGGCCCCAACAAACAGGACCACTGTCATTTGTTTGGAGCATCCTTTCAAAAGTCACAGGTTACAGTTTATCATATATATATATATTATAGTTTATCTACTATTCGCAGGTGGTTAAAGACAGCTGCAATATGCCTAGAGACCACACAGACTTCTACCAAACTCCGGTGCAAGAGGTACCTGTCTCACTGGTCTTTCAACGAGAAGTCGCGCCTCCATGGCTCTCAAGTGATCTAGATTGAATTAACGCGATACTGCTGCCACGCAAAACGCTCACAACCCTTCCACACTTCACATCCGATATATGCCAACCATCTCATTGATGTGGCCAAACTGCTGAAGTTTCTGTATGTTGTGGGGAAAGTGGCTGATGTTTTGATGGTGCACATTGATGGTCCATTGAGCTCAAGCGACTGTAGATGTTCCCTTTAGCTCTCGTCGCTCGACCGTCATGGCGTGGCACAGCCGGTGCAGCTGGGCCGTGGCACAGCCGTTCCGTGCCGTTAAGTGAGACTGGATGGGGCCACGCTGCAGCTGATGACGAGTGTCCAAAAGGATGCACCTCACTCTTCATGTGTGGAGATGTATGGAGTATATTATATGCCTGCTTTGAGCCCTGTTCAACCACCCCAATGGCAAGCTATATGGATCTAAGACGTATCTATAAAAAGGTTTCTTCATGATCTGGTTGGGTGTGGAAGATCTTCCGGATGATTTGATCGCCATTCCCTCCGAGAAAAAAAAGGTGTTTGCTCCTCTACCAACCACTCATGTGAGAGCAGATCCGACATCCTCTTGATATCGCAGCCTCAAAACACGGGAATCCCCATAAATAATTGCTGAGGGAGATTGACTGGGAGCTGTGAACTACTCACCTACAAGTTGCTGCCGCAGCGGCTGCCCAGGCGCCTTGCCATACCGGGCAAACTGGATGCTCTACTCCCGCCCAGTCCAAGCCTTTGCCTGGAGGGCGACTTGGCAAAAAAAAACAAGACACTTCTCCCATCATGCAGGTCTTGATTCTGGCACCAGCACTGATAAATCTCACACATGCAGTTTGGACAAAGCATGCGTGTAGCAACCTAGGTTAGCTCAAACTAGAATAACACACAATAACGGAGAGTTCAACAACAATCAAGCACTCCCAATATTGGATCATTGTCAATTGTGATTAATTTGATTCACTCTTGTAAAGGCGAGCTATTTCCAGGAGTTAGCACAAGGAGTCGGATGCCACACCTGGTCGATGAAAGAAATGTGCAGCTCACTCGCTTCTTTTCGACCTCAGGATCCAGAGCTGGAGACGGAGCAGCAAAAGGAGACCACAGCCTAGGCGATTGAAAAAACACACATTCCCATGCCCATTTCCAGTGAACCCCCTGCAGCGAACTAGACACAAGCAGGTCTCTCCATTCTCAGTCAAAGCCACTTGAATCTCGAAATATGTCCAGCCTTGGGAATCCACCTGTTGCAAGGCATGGGATTACAATCTGATCAATCTGTTGCAATCACCAAGTCTTGAACATGGACCACCATGACCTCTTGAGGTCTCTAGGGACTCTAGGGCCCGTACAAAGTCCAAAGACCAATGATCATGTTAAGGACAAGGAGTTGGTTTCTTCGTCCGGCTTCGTTAAATCATGTTGAATCTGAAAACCATCAAAACAATCACGTGGCTAGACTTCTAGGAAACGAATGACTTCAGCACTGGAAAGAACAGGTGCCAGTGCCAAACCAGTGATTCGGAAATCCGGTGTCTCTGAACTGCAGCTTAAACAGTGATCAAAAAAGGCTTCCTCTGCGAGTCCGTCGCGCACGCGGACGTTGGAGTGACGTCCCCAGTCCCAGTCAGGCGGACTTTCGATCGATAACCCCCCGGTTGTGTCGTCTCAAGCGACCAATTGCTATCTTCCGGCCGTTTTGGTCTGTAAACCTGTGCTCTGGTTCTTTCAGGTCGAGAGTAGGTGGAGGCTGTCTTACCAACCACGAGCTAAGCTCGTCACGAGCCAAGCTCGTCACCAGTCGATTTCCTCGACTTGTTCGGGGTTCGTTCGTTCCACCTCCTCCCCCATCCCGTCGCCCGATCGACAGCCCGACACCGACGGGAAGGCGCCGGCGCGACCCGCGCTCCGATCAGCGGCACTTCGGCGCCCCGGCGGAACCTTCAGATCTCCATGATCTGGGCGAGAAAGGAGCCGAAAAGCCAGGATCTGGGGTCTTTTTGCCGCTTCACTCTTTTTTGGGGGGAAGGGAAGGAAATGGTCATGAAAAGCCACAGGTGACACTGTCCGAAAAGCTTTTGGAGTAAGCGCTTTTGTCGAATCCTGTGCCTTGGTCGAAGATCACTTTCTTCTACAGTGACAGCACTTCTCCACTTCCATGCTGAATGAAAGAGAAACTCTTGGGCGTTCCCTTCAAAGCTGTACTCCTCAAAGAAACGCATAAGATTTCTGCGATGGTCTGTACATGTATGGGACGCTATTATAGAGAGTACAACAGCAGTATTTAAGCGATCCACGTGAATGTCCCGCTACATTCACGTTCCACAAACAACTGCTGAACTTGGTATTGCGTGTGACTCCAAACCTCGGGCCTTGGCCTCATTGGGCGTGACAATGAGGGGCTGGTCAAAAATAAACAGTCCCTGCCCAGCAAGGTGGGAATCTGGAGAGCAGCCAGGGTGAGCGTACGCTTCTCCAAGTATACATCAGTGTATAGTTTAAAATATAATCATGCAGATTAATGCAACTCGTTATATAATTAAATATAATTAAATGACTATAATTATAGATGATATTAGATGTTATTTATTGTTGATCATCCCTCATAATGGCCCGCTGTGTGAAGTTCAACGTAAAAACGTAAAAATAAACTGCACAAAACCATCAAACGGGATGGCTTTCAAGTGAACAAGGACTATCTCACCTGGGTACCATCCCTTCAGAGAGTAGCTGCCACAGCAGTGACTTTGCCATCTCACTGGTTTCTTCTTGTGGCATTCCTTCGGAGTGGAATTGCGAAATCGATGACTTCTTGCTGACTGCCATCTCTTCGGTACTGGTATCTTCTTTTTGTGGCATTCCTTGGAAGCGGAATTGCGACATCCATGGCTTTGCGCTGGCTGCCATCTCTTCCGCACTGGCTTCTTGTGGCATTTCATCGGAACGGAATTGCAACATCGATGACTTCGTGCTGTCTTTAGCAACCATCGGCTGATGAACTTGTAGGCCACCAACAGCTGGTTCAACCCTCTTGGCTGAAACTGCTTTGCGCACAGTCACCTCCAGATTGTGATGGCCAACAACTAGTACGCCATTCAGGGCCCTGAACAATATTGCGATCTTCTTTGAGCTCACGGTGAAGTTGACCTCCTAGCGACATGGCCCATCCAAAGGGGACAAAAACCCATGGCAAAGGTTCGGGTGATCTTCCCTCGAAATTCAGGGTTTGGATTCCGAAGTTTGGATGGGGTTGGTGTTTCTGACCCTCCGATGGTCCATGAAGAGTTCCAGATCTACGTCCCGAAAGCCGCAGCTCCTTTGCAGACACCCTGCTCATCTTGTGCACCTCGAAGGGCTTGAGCAATTCTCCAACCTCCGCATCCAAATGCATGGAAATCGGGCTCAAGGTCACGATCCAGTGTGGAATGTCTGGACGCCCCCAAGGCCTGCAGGACTTGGTCGGAGAAACAGGCCCACCCAAAGCAACCTGCTGCCACCACCACCACCCAACGGGTGCCTAGACCCCCAGGACCACGTGTTTACCATCTATAGTATACATACATAAGCACCTCACTGTTAGTTGGTGTTTTCATTTGTATTTGGACCTTGGTGGAGATCATTGCGCACACCACTGTGGTTGTCTTCAATATCAAACAAAACCTTCATCATCAAAGCCACCATTAAGACCAATGCCTTCATCATCCTTCAAAACCAAAGCCTTGTTCCACACTGTTACACTGCTTTTCATCACCTTGAACACCAACCAACATGGTCATCATCAGAAAACACCCTTGATCAGGTCCAAGTTCGTGATTGTGACCTTCATGTTTTTACTGCCGCGCTTCAACATTGAACATCTTGTTCCAGACTGTGTTTCGCCAACGTGATCACCAGCATGAACATCATCAAAGAAAATAATATCGATCAGGTTGAAGATCATGATGTTGATCTTCTTGTGGGTCATCATCTTGAATGAAAAACACAACAAGCACCTTCTCATTGAAGACTTTGAACACCAAGGCTGCCATCATGATCATACCACTGTTCATTATCTTGGTCAGCAACATGAACATCAAAGACATGATCTTGATCTTGATTGATCTTCTCTTGCGAGCTTAGTCTGCCCTGCTATCTGAGGGGTTCATAGTAAAACCCTTTGATCACAAGGTGAGCTTTATGTTGGTTAATACATCTTTTTATGCAAAACATTATCCCAGGGTGAGGGGCAACATTTTTTTTCAACCCTAAAACATTTTTTTTCCACCCTAACCTTTTTTTCAACCCTGCAACATTTCTTTTTCACCCTCGAACATTGTTTTTTGACCCTGTCACATTCTTTTTTAACCCTTGTACATGCTTTTTCGACCCTGGACCCTTCTTTTTCAACCCCATCCATTTGGGCCCACCAGACTTTCCCGCAGCTCGAAGCGCCTCTTTCACTCTTGACGGGTCGTCGTCGAGCAGACTGCCCGCTTACAAGCTCTGGGCCGTTGGGGGCCCAATCTGGGGCCTGCAATGGTCCGGTTGGGTGTTGGAAGCTACATAGGGACCCTTCGAGTTCCTCCATTCCATGTCAGATTGCTCATTGGCGCGCCCAACAAACTGGAGGAAACTATGGAGGATGAAACTGATTGGAAAAACTGATTCTCCGAGATTTCTAACTGAGTTGGTCCGATTTGCATGATCGTTTCCGCATCAAAAACCAACCCAGCAAAGAGAGGAAGTTGCAAGAAACGTCAATCATGCCCTCTTAGACATGAAACAAGAAGTCAATGTTAATGTTTTCAAACCAACGTCAACCGCGGCGTGTGGAGATCTGCGGGTCGGACTTGAAGGGAATCACCAACCCAAAGCTGAGAACTCATTGGATGAGGTCCCTGAATCGACAGCTATGTATCCATGTTAATGCAGTAGCACAAAAACCTCACTGAAGGAAAACAACAATGGGAATAGTTTTTTTCTTTACGCTAACGGTTCTTTTTTTATGCTGGATTTGGGTGGGTTCTTTTTTTTATGCTAACGGTTTTTCCCGAAAGCATTGCGAAGGGTTCTTCCGGAAAATCCTTTGAGCACTGACACTTCGACACTTACACTTCGACACTCACACTTACACACACAAACACACTGGAAGAGCGAAAGCATCCAAGTGCGAAGTATGCCAGTGTCAAAGTATGCAAGTGTAAGTATGCAAGCATGATATGCAAGGGTGAGTATGCAAGCATGCAATGACTATGCAAGCATGCAATGAGTAGGCAAGTGTGAGTATGGGCGGGAGATGTCCTAATGAAAAAACATTTCCCCACTTTATAAATTCTCTCTTAAAGGCGGAGTGCGGGACGAACAGCGTCAACCGAAAGTGCAACCCTCTGCGGAGATCGTGCGTGTCGAGTGCGCGAAATGCAGGCGAGAGTGCGATTTGCCGGGCGCGCGCGCAACCCTCTGCGGAGATCGTGCGTGTCGAGTGCGCGAAATGCAGGCGAGAGTGCGATTTGTCCGGTCCGCGCGCAACCCTCTGCGGAGATCGTGCGTGTCGAGTGCGCGAAATGCAGGCACTGGCGACTTTCTAGT